TTATTTAAAATATGTTGCACAAGTTTTAAAAATAAATGAAACAAATATAATTTTTAAACAAAAAATAAAACAAAAATTGTAGACTGAATTATAGATGCAAACAAGATACAAAGTGTGATAAAAATGTTAAGGAACATCAATTTATTATCTATTGTATATCGAAGAACAATCAATAATACGAGAGATTTTGGAATTGTATAACACACTTTCCATAACATTGCAGACGATTTGCAGTGTAACGGAACTAATTGATCCAGTCATGCGTAAATTTTCTCAGGGTTTTTTTTTCCACTTGTATTTAAGACTTTCACTCTTAGAAATTTTTAGAACATTTACAAGAACTAATCTGCTGAGATGAGAAAAATTTGATGAGTAATTGCGAGGTGTATAAATAAAGTAATGAGACTAGAAGTATAACTTTCGATCTGGCAACACTGAACTACCTATTCTACGGAAAGGGTGAAAAAATTTTCGTAATTGCCGTAGGCTATTTTTTTTTTTTTTAAACTATTTTTTCTGGTGCATTTTGAAAATCAGTGACATCATCAGTGCAACGTTGTGCTGTCAGATTTTGCTTCAGACTCGTGCACAGCGCCACAGAAACTTTTGCAAACCTTCAGTAGGTCTACGGAGATAAAATTTTGCCAGGTCCCCAGGTTTAAGGTGGTTTAAGGCATTTTCAGAAGGAAAGTAACCGATTGTAGGCAAAGCTCACGGGAGGAGGTCTGCAACTGTAAGACCTGACAAAAAATACTGCCAAAATCCGGAATCGTGCAATTTGATCTTCGCTTGATAATTAGAATGATCAGGAGAAGAATAGAATTTGAATGACACTACCCTTCATCAGATTTTGACAAATGAATTGGTGAAGTGGAAAATTTGTGCGAAAAATTTTTTGAAAAACCTTTAGTAAAAACAGAAGAGCAATAAGAGAGACAAGTGTTATGATTTTTTGGAGGGAAAGAAAATCATCTTCATATTCTAGACTGTGTCATTACTGCTGACGACACTTGGGTGTTCGAATACGAGCCAGAAACGACGCGCCAGAGTCAGGAACGGCAGACTTCACACCCACCAAGAACCCCCTTTCCCAGAAAAAAAAAAAAAAAAAAAAAAGGAATGAGCAAATGGAAAATTAAAAGGTATGCCGATTTGCTTTTTTCGACGGCCAAGGAGTTGATGAACTAACATTTTTCTCAGATGTTTTTGAAAGGCATGATCTTCAAAAAAAGAAAGCGGCCATGCGTGTGAGACAAAGAATAAAGACTAACTGGGTGCTGTATTATAACGATGCGCCTTACACTGCATTTTTATATGACATTTTTCGAGATGACAATTTTTCGAGAATTGTAAATAGGTATTCTCGAGGTGAAGCAGATACCAGTGGGTTTCTTGTTTATCCTGGCTAGTGCCTCTCCAATTTAGGTCCTTTCAAGGCGTTTTTTCCTGGTTTATTGAAGCATTCCTGATAAAGACTATTCCTGATTTAAAAGAAGCATCCGGATACCTGTGTTTTCCCTGGGTCTTGATTTTGTTGAAGCCTTAGCGTTCCTGATTAAGAATGTTCCAGATTTAAAAGAAGCTGCCTGATACCAGTATTTTTCCTGGTGTTTTGACTTGCTTGAAGCCTTCCTGATAGCAGTGTGTATCATTGACCTCCCCCATCCGGCAAGCAGCACAATTTGGTTTTGTGGATTTCTTCGAAGGTCAACGAAATAAGCTGGACTATCTGTTGTTAACTCCGTATTAATCAGTCGATGATGGCATTTCCGATTTCTTCGAGGGGTCAACGAAATGAGCTGGACGATCTGTTGAACTGTTAAAATTCCGTTTTTATCTGTCGATGATGTCACTCCGAGAAAATAGGAGTTTGATGTAAGAACTTCACCCTGTGAGTGATGATTTTTTTTATATCTTGACTTTTCTATTTGCAAATATTCCCAAATTAAGTAAAGTTAAATTATGTATTGTAAATATACGGGAAATTAAGTAGTAATCATTTGTAATGTATTGAAAACTGAGAGGTGATTCGAGAAGTTTGAGTCAATTACAGTCAAAAGTCTTTAATCCGGACTCGTCTGGACGTCGGCGATTCCGGATTATCGATTTTTCCAGATTATAGATCATCAGTTTAAATCTGGTAAGATGGCATGCAGAAATTATAAAATTAAAAATATGAAACCTTAATTTATGAAATAAAGAGCAATTATCATCTAAAGGGTATCAAAATTTACAAAAAAAAAGCTTAATATTTATTTGTTTACTTTATTAAACATTTCTTTCAACGCGCGCATGCGTAAAGCATACATTACATAGTCGAAATTAGAAAATTGCAACCAGAAAACTATTTGATTTGTATTCGTGATATTTATAATGACGGAAAATTTGATTTAAATCATATCAAAGACGGAGTACATCGAGATGAAATACTACATTTAGTAAGGAATTATAAGCCGAATAAAATAAAAACATCTGCCCTGAAGATAAGGATATAGTGCTGACAGATCAACTTCCAGTTCATTGCGCCCGCGACGTTCCCCCCCCCCCGCAGAGCAGCGTGAAATTGATAAACAGATTTCGGAATGGTTAGAGAAACAAAGGATATGCCTTTATCCATTTTTTGCAGCAATTCCACTTTTTGTTTGATGGACATCGAAACATGCTTTCGCTTTGTAGATCCTTTGGCAGCTCCAGCATCGGAAATTCTATTTGACATAATCGAAAGTTCAAGCTTACTTTTATAAAATTGCTCTAACAGTCTGCAAAAAATAATAAGCCGGATCCAATTCGAAGATTAAGGAACAACGCAATCTGCAACATTAACTGAAATAGATAATTAGATAATTTTAGCTTAGCTTATACCGTCCGTTATACATTAAACGCGCATGCGTAAACGTATTACGTACGTATGCGTCAATGCATTGGACGCATGCGCAGAAAGTTTGTAGCTCTGAGGTCCGGATTATAGATCATTCCGGATTATGGGTGTCCGGATACGCTTTTGACGTACCGTATACATTTTAATGAGGTTTGTTTACCAGCTTAATTTAGTGAGCTATTGAATGTCAAAATTAGTAACTTACAAATTATTATGAATATGTTAATTTTGGAATGAGAATGAGTGTTATTTTTCATCTTGAGGTTTCTTAATTATTGTAAGCTGAGTTCAGTGTGACATTATATGTTACCTTTCATAGTTAAATATGTGGTTTAGGAATGTAATATTATTCTAGAAATTAATAAATATGTTTGTCTTATAATTTTAGTGCATTTATTTATCTTGTGTATTTATTTTTTTTGGAGGGGGGGTTGTCATGTTACTCCATTTGTTTGAGCCGAGAGGCTTTTTAAGAAACAAAGAGCTTTTATTGAATTTGGATTATTGTTTTTCCCTAGTGGGCTTCACAACACGCCCTATTGTACTAACCCATTACCACTATACGATTGTCTTTATGATATATGATGAATCTGATTTATTTTGATTTTTAGTTAGTTTGTCCGCCACTCAGCGATTTAATTAAGGGTTATAAAGTTTTAAAAATTATAAAACACCTAATTATCAGCTGTTTAACAACGTGCAGACCACAACACTACGAAGGCACGCTAAGAAGGCGGGAGCCTTATATCCTTATATCCTACTACCAAGATTCAAACCTCATTCTGAAGGGCGTTATTTTGGAACACTAGAAAACAATAAAACGGTCCTAGCCGACTAGGCAATCCCAGGGCTACGAAATTTAGTACATAAGTGCATCTAGACAAGAGCCAGTGCACATCGAAGTGATTTTTTCAAAATTCGAATCATTTTTTTATTTTCTCTTTTTATCTTGATGAAATCTCATCATTTTAAATAGTTTCATTCTTTTAAAAATGGAGTTTTGGCACCAGTTTTTCATTCAATTGTATACTGAACTGCTGACTGTTCAAAATCAGCACTGTTGCCACTTGGAAAAATGAGGGCGATAATTCTGTGCAGTTTTTAAACTTAATGTTTCTTTTGGATACTGGATGTTTGTCGAGAGAAGACAACGGGAATTTGGTTAATTTGTTTATTAGAGTAATTAATATTTGTATTAAGGGATATTGCTTATTTCATTGTAATTATTTTATATGTAATACATTTTTATTGAAATTTTTTTTTTTTTTTTTTTTTTGGATAAAGTTGTTAAACATTTTAGCCCATCAGCGGCAGGAATCTTGCTAGAAAAATAGTACATGAATGCGTAGTGTTTCAAGCACAGACCTGTACCAATAGATCAGATAATGGGTGATCTGCCTGCTGACCGAGTGTCAGTTGAGTCAACTTTTAACAAGTGTGGACTCGATTTTTGTGGCACGTTTCTTATAAAATCAAAAAATCAAAGAAAGGGATATTTTCAAAAAATGTATGTTGCAGTATTTGTATGCCTTGCTACAAGAGCAATTCACTTAGAAATTGTCTCATACTTATCTTCGGAAGTATTAATTGCTACCCTAAAGATCTGCAGATTAAAATTTTGTGCAGTTTTTAAATGTAATGCTTGTGCAGTTTTTAAATGTAGGCATTTTCTCGGTACATTTAAAAGCCAGACGAAGTTTTTAATGTAACTTTGTAAAATCATTAGGGTTTGTTTTGTTTTTCTTTGAAGCAGAAGACGTGAAAAACATCGCCGCCGGGACTCCAACATTGGACCTCTCGAATACGTGTCGAGTATGCTTCCAATTAGACGACGAATATATGCCAAAAAAATAGGGAGAAAATACCATATAATTTATTATTAGTTGTCTTCACATTTAGTTATTCGGAGTGTTCTTTTTGGTTACAAATCATATGACCGTTTACGTATGAAAAAAAAAATACCAATTAAAAAAGATTAGTGAAAAATTACACGTCATTGTTAGAAAATACAAGTTTCCTCAGATCCTGTGCCACTGAAGAGAACCGTTAGTGACCAACAGGAAGCAATTTTTTGGTCCATTTGCACCACTTTTCTCTGCAACGTCTCCCGTGTGTTTTACAGGCGCCAAACTTGACACAGATTATGTCTTCGGATGTGGAACAGGCCCCGAAGGCTCTACGAGGAGTCGTTGCACCTGCCGAGGGATGTTTCTGGATTAAAAGACGAGCAGGCCCTATTACGAGCCGGTCACGAAAGAAGTTCACTCCTATCGAAACCACCACTTCTGGAACGACCACCCTCAGCAGCAGAAGTATGGAGACGACGACGGCGATTCTGGTGTCACTATTATTGGTCACTCTGGGTGAGTATATATGAATATTTTTCTTAAACTTGAAGTTTTAATTTTTTCCATTTTCAAGAATAAGTATGATCAGGGATTATTGAATATTTCATAAGTTTTATAAAATTTAGTCTTACCTCACTTTCACAGCTGATTAGTGATGATGATTGCTTTGTCTCGTTTATTTTTTAAGGGAGTATACAATTCTTAAATGAGGCAAAGAATATTATTTTAAACTTTTCTTCCCGATTTAAAACATTATGTTTATGAATAAAAATCAAGTTAGTTTAAGACATTAAAGAAAGAAAAGTTTAAGAAATCTTAAAAAAACTGTTTTTTCAAAAAAAAAAAAAAAAAAAAAAAAAATATTTTCGTTGGAACATTTCTACATTCTTCTAGAAATAAAAGATAGTAAAAATATTCTACATAGTTTAGAAGATATTAAAAACATAAGAATCATTGCACATAAATTTCATTAAACCCCAAAAGTCCTACACAATATTTTAAATTTTTGCTAAACAGATTCAATATTTTTGTTTATTTACTAAGAATCTCCCTTTTAATTATATATTTTTGAGTACTTATAAATGTATTAAACAGTACTAAATACAATTGTTCAGTCATGAGTGTTTTTTTTGGAGGAGGGCTCATATTTGGTTAAACTATACGAGACTACGTGCAGACAAGTAACAGAATGTTTTCCAAAATGTTTTCGTTTCTTTAAGCAAAGGGACGTTCCAGAGTAGAAATAGCTAAAAAAATATTAAGCATTTCATACACTTTAAATTTTATTTTTTATGTAAAACTTTTTGTGTGTGAAATAAGTACCCTATTTAAATTATTTTAATTACGGTTTGATACATAATTATCTCATACAAACATATCAATAAAATACGGAATTTTTAGTTCAAATTACTTAAAATAGCATGATGATACTACAACGTAACCTTTTTTAAGGTACCTTGAAAAGTTTTTGAAATGTCCAGAAAGATACATGAGAAAAACTTTTTTTAAGATAAAACTGTTTAAAATTTTCTCAATAAAAAATCACCATCATTATGATTTTATGACATTACCGTCGAATTATTTGAATTAATATTATAAGATATCCTTTTTTATACATTTTGAATGAAATTATTGAAAGGCAACACATATTTATAAACAGGTGAATTTTGTTATGCACAAACCGAGGACTGTCACATGTCTTTTTAATGTTTGTTTACACATAAGCTTGGATTACCGGGAATTATTTTGTCTGTAACCTTTCATATATACAGAATATTTTCCATTCCATTATTTCATATATATATAATATAATATAATTATACAGAATAGTTTCCTGTAGTTTTTGTTTCAAACTGTTTTCGTTTTCTTCTTCTTCTTTTTTTACAATTTGCCCAGAAGGACTATTAATTTCGTTTTGTCATTTTGCGTTGATTCAATACAAGCGTTATATTACCCTTTTCAAATTGTTGCCACCAAATATTATCGCCCTGTATTATATTTAAAGAAATTAAATAACGAAGAATCTGTATAAATGTATGTATGTATGTTTCTCGCATTGTAATAAAACAACGGTACCTAGAGCCATCAAATTTTGAATAACGTACGTCTCCACCCGAATATGGGCATCTGGAAGACCAAATTTGAAATTTGGAATTTGTTTTATTGTCGATTTCATATTTTGTAAAACTTTAACGAATTTTTTATTAAGAAACTGAAAGATTTCAAAGCGAGCAATGGCAACATTGTAGAGAAAAAAAACTTTTTGTCTCCAGCGTGCGAAACTGTGTATCGAAAATTCTAAAGATATGCTCATTTTAAAATTATTTGCGATCTCAATTTTATGTTTTAAGTGCGAAGAACATGGTATTTAATAAATAAAGATAACACATAAAATGTTAAAAAAACGCCCTTTTAAACGTCATTTAAAATCTGAAATTTTTCAGATTTTTTTAAACCGATTTTTTAAGCTTTAAATGTCGTCTGAGTTCTTTAATTATTTACTAAATTGATTTTTCGTTTTTTTATTGCATTTACAAAAGTTTTACACTGAATTTACATGTTTTTATCCTCGAGATTTAAGCAGAAGAATTTTTTTCATACTCATGAGCTATGGATGTAAGTAATAAAAATATATTTATGAAAGCAACTATGCATGTCACACGATGGCAAAGTTGTTAGATCTGCGTTAAATTTTGACTCTGGACTAACAACTGAGCATATGAAAATGGAAGGTTTATGAGACACCTTAAAAAATTTTTCTGTTTTAGATTATGAATTACAATTAAGCTTTTTTTATTAAATTTTGGTGATTTAACTCTGTACTGAGTAGTAAGAAATACATTACAGAGAGCACGTTTTACCACGCAATCTAAGCATACTTTAAAAAATATTACGAATTTTTAAAGAACGAACCACAGGCCCTTTTTTTTCAAAATAAACTCAAGATGTACGTTATATTATACGTTTAAGAAAGCGGGCCACCGCGTGTAGTTAAGATATTTAAATAAATTTAACGTTCAACTAATAATAATTTGGAAAACGTATTGCTGAATTATTATGTTGGAGGTATTAGCAGTTTTCAAATGTTGGAGTATTTACATTCCATAAGCACTTAAAATCTTTAAATTGATATTATTTCTGAAAATATCGATGCTTGATGCAATTAGTGAAAGATTTGGATCGGAAAGCTTTACTTAAAAAAATTATCAAAAGGACTGAATTTTTATTAACTAATGAAGCCATCAGTTAATAAAACTTTCATTAACTTATTGCACACTGGTTCTATTATTACATTCTACGTATGTAGAAGGGTGTATTATAGATGTTAAATTAATAATTTTTTGAAAACTCATTAAAATTTGGTGGCTAGTAAGAACATTTTATGTAGACCAATTCAGTATGGCTGAGACTGTATGGCTATAACTTTTTAAACTATTTTGTTTGCGTTGATTTTTCATCCTAGGATTTTGTTACCATTTTACAATAATAAAAAGTTATGAAAAATCTTAAAGAAATTTTACGGATGGCACTAGCCATTTCAGGTTTTCGCCACCACTAAGGCCAGAATTTGTGATCACTATATTATGGTAACCGTAACCTCCTATAAAGGGACAGCCAATTTATATCCCTGCCTTTTCCGGGATTTGAACCCGAGGCTTCGGTAGGGCAGTCAGATTCACTAACCACTTTCTCGTCTGGGCGGCATCAGTAAGAAAACTCAATGTTAGTCTATACATAAACATATGATATTTTAAAAATCAGGAAGTAGCTCCATCTTTTCCTTTGCACAGTAGCGACAATCAAGCATAATCACTAACAGTGGGATAACCGTAAAGAAATAATGACTTATTTTCCTGACTAATTTATCCCTTGTAATAGACCCTTTAAGTGCCCACTTTATATGATACTAATAGTGCAAATAGTGTTGAGTACGTATATTTTTCATGATCGTGATTCCTGATTCTGAGTTGAAATTTATAGAGATTTGATGATATTTAATATTGTAGCAAAAACTGTGAGCAGATCCGGAAATAAAATTTTCGACTTTTAGATCGATATGAAGTGTGCTATTCCTTACAAACCAAGAAGCGGTATACATATTTCTAAAGTTTTATTTTGCTCAATATATATTTCATTCAGATCTGTTTTTATAACATGCAACATGTGGAAGGGTATAAAGTATGAGTCTTGTTGCCATTTCATAAAAGTAAGAAGTGAAGCATGAGATAGAAAAATAAACATCAATCTTGGAAAGAAGAACTTAAAGTGCTTTCTCGCTTCGAAAAAAAAAAGTGATGAGAGAGTGCTGTGAACTTTCTCGAAGTCTTTTGTGTGAATTTATTCCTTTCGCCTTTCCAATCACAAAAGACTTTTATAAATGAAACTTTCATTGACCAAGAGAACTTTCAAAGACCGATGTTTTTCTTTGTTTGAAGAACAATACCAAAATAGATCTACAAACAAACCTTCGCAATTAAAACCGAAGTTTTAGAAGTGAAGAGGCTTTTGGAACAGTTGAGTGAACAGTGAGGTCAGGATGAGCAAGATATATATGAGATAGAAGGTTTTATCTAGATAAATACTTGACAAATCGGTGACTGACCTACCAAATAATTATTACTGACTTTTGTTAACAAAGTCTTACGTATTTAAGAATAGCAGGTATTCGCTCTTTATTAGCTGAGTATCATTGCCAAGTAACTTGTCACATAGCTGAGGTATTTGGATTAAGCGTTTATAACGGTTTATAGTGTTCTTTCAATCTATGAATAGATAACATGTGAAATATAAATGATAATGAGGTAAGTAAGTATGATAATGAGGTAAGATCACGAGTATAAGTTTCAAATTATTATATGCATGTATTAATTCATAAAGCGAATACTCTAAATACACTATTTAAAGCACTATGGAAATATTATAAAAAATGCATTGCATCTGAATTTGAATGAAATTTTGCTTGCTTACCTAAAAAGCACTAAAAGTCCATTTTAAAAGAATATAACCATAAGATTCCTATATTAATTCTGAACGGAAAACTTTGTGCATCTCTTCTTTTAATTAATATATCAGCTCCTCTGACGAACACCAACTGAAGTATTATTGAAAAACCTATTACATGAAATGAATGTACGATATTTCTTCTCAAGCAAAAGGAATTCTGTTGCCTATAAAGCCCAACAGCGGCCCAGCGGTAAAAATCATTGAACACTGGTAGTTCGGACCTGGGTTCGAATTCAGGCGAGTGGACTTGCTGCAGGAGCGTTTTCGTGGTTTTTCCCATGTGTAACGTGTATACGAGCGAGTTTCTATTAGAACGTCCTCCAAGAAGACAACACTCCCTTTAGTCAGAAGCCCTCGAGTGCTTTATTGCAACTAAATAATCCAATAGAAAGCATCTAGTGGTTACCGTTATACTGCTTCTGTTACAAAATAATAACAGGAATAAATATTACGCTTGAGCTACAATAATTTTTGCATAAACGGAAGAATCTTCACTGGATACAGGTATGTAATATGTTTCAAAATTATGGCAAGAAAAATATTGCATGTGTTATATACAACAAACAAAAGAAATTTTTCTAACTAAGGTTTGTCTACATATGTCACGAACTTAAGACAGAAAACTAACATTGAACAATATCATTACATTAAAGGCATACGAATTATTGAACATAATAATCATTACGAAGTTAACAAAGCAAGTGAAATCCATTCGATAAAAGCTGAACTAAATAATTCGTCTTTGAAAATCAAGGATGCAGTACATACTACGAAAATACAGCAGTTAAAGGAATTGTATGTTATAATAAATGCAAATTTCAGAATTATAAATAAAACGATAATAATCAAAATACACTAGTAAAAGAGATAATTATAAATAAAAAAATAAATTAAGTACACTGCTCGAAAGAAAATCATAATTAAATATGGTTACTGAAGAAAGCAAGAACACATGTCTGTTTATCATCAGGAATAATTTTATTAGCCTTGTATTTTATATACTGCTTGCATTGCTAGTGCATTACTGTATTTCATAGGCTGTACTGTGTTTTATAGCCTTAAACTTAACACACTACTGTATTTCGTAGCCTCTTTGCAGTATTGCCGTAAAAATAGTTGATTTGTTTTCACCCTGACGGGGAAGAACTATTACTTATTTATTATTTCTATACTACTGCTGGTCTATGAATCAGTCAGAGTAGTGGAAAAGTGTGCATTCATTGCTGGACCCTGGATAGTGGTAACGGCAGTACGATGTTTATACAGATTCATTCAGTTTTAATCAAAACTATCAAGTGTGATATTTTCATCCATTACTCAACTTGATATAAGCACAACGGTTACAAAATCCATGTTTATACGGGTTTCCAGCCGAAGTTCTTAGGCATGCATATATTTCCTTTGATCATCAGATAGATTAGATAAAAACCGAGGTGTAAAAGGAAAAGAAGATTACTATATGAAACTATATATATGAAACTATATAATACTTACTTTTGTTGTTACTATATGAAAAATTTACCTTTCTTTAACTGCGATAGAAATGCAGAATTGTGAGATCATTTTCTTAGAGAACAAAACGCGCCAGTGAATTTTCTATAGAAAGATATATGGGCTAACGTTACTTATTGGCCACTATTAAATTAAATGTATTTTTATCTCTAGTATCAATGTTCTTGCTTCGAAAGCAAGTATTATCAATAAAAAGTTTTTAAAGAGTGTGATTCTACTGCGTCCTTTCTGTATTAAACTAATTTATTTAAAAAGTATATTTATTATGTTTATAAAACTTTATCACGATTAAAATAAACTAAAGTCATTAGAAATATCAAATTCATGTACACATTTTCCTAGAGAAAATTGTTTGGTGCGTGTTGTCCTATAAAGAAAAGAAATGAACTCCAAACATTTTTAAAAATTTCAAATTTAATTCTAAAACACAGTCTAAAAAACAATTTCCGTAAAAATATTAGCTTATTGTCATTTCTAAACTATAAGAAGACAATATTTATTGAAAAAATTTGTGCTCCGTGCTCATAACTCACATTCAACAAAAGGTTTCCACTAGTTCCACAGCATAAGTTCTAGTTTTGTAATGTTCCAGATGTTTAAAAACACAGAATAGAATAATTTTTTTGGGGTCGGATTTTGAATCTTCCTCTTTTAATAGAGGTCAGATGTAGATAACATGACGATGCCCAGGAAAGACGTGCTTCTAAGAGGAAAATATCACTAGGGTGGAAGTCAAGTTTGCAGGATCCGCTTCCGTTTAGTTATTGTTCTGCCCCCACTGCGGGGTTGCAGGCATATTGCTTACTTCCTCCGCATTTAATTGTTCCCTGAAACCCAATCATAGACGAAAATCGAACAGCAGGGAAAAAAAACGGATCTTATTGTCCATTGTTCGAATCATCACTTTTTGCTTCGCTTTCCTTCAAACCCATATACTGTACGCCTTCCGAAAATTCCAGGAAGTTGACAAATTTTTTAAAGTTTGCAAAATGGTAAAATATGTATGTATCTTAGGCATCTTGCTGTATGTATTAAAACTGATTCACTTTAGCTTTTTATGTAGAATAGACGTAAGATAAGCATTTTGACTTTAAATAACTCCCAGCTATCCTTAATAAAATTGGTATTGGAGCATCTTAGAGACTGAACTATTAGAGGGTCAAGGAATTATCGCATTTCCCCTTGCGTACTGCGGCGTAAGTGGTTAGTAAATCCAGCTAGCAAATGGAAGGTCTGTAGTTCGAGTTTCAGCAAGAATACAAATAATTTTTCATGTTTTACAACCCAATATATCTAATGGTCTTTACAGAGATATATTAACAAAGTCGATTATAGCATTTTCCCGTGCGGGCTTGCATGGTGTTAGTGGTGCATAGTTTATTTTTCTTCTTTCCTAGTCTAACGTACTAAACTGCAGTGTATTGATTAATATTTGGATTTTCGGAATGCAACTCAAGGCTTGCAATAAGCTTTTTCGTTTTCATTTATTTGTCTGTCGTATTTAAGAATTTATAGTTCTGGTCTCGGAATATGGCAATCATGAAATGCTTCCAAAAAATTTAAAATTTATTAAAGTATTAAAAAATAAATATATGTATTCCAGATTTATGTAAGTCATTTTACATAAATCAGAATTTTAAATAAACTAAAATGCTCCTTAAATGCTTATCGCAGGTAAATTAGATTAAGATGATGAGCTGGCTGGGCTAGATTTGAGAATGAAAGCAAAAGTTTGAAGTTTCGAGGGAAATAATCTACTCAAACCGTTGTAGCTGGTAATACGTGAGTAGGATCAATATTTAAGGAAATAAAACACACAATAGCTTTTTTCAGTACCTTCTATAAACTAAACATTTATTTAATGTTAGTGTTGAGAAAATTTCACTTCAAAAACCTGATTCACTTCCAAATTATTCTTAAAAGTCATTTTTAGAAAAGAGTATAATAGTATAATAGCACTAAAATGCTTGCCATTTAGAAGGTTATTGATATTTGAGATTACACAACTTCTCTGTGTCATGATATCATCCAATTAATTTAGAATTTTACAGTAAAGTTAAACATGTCATCTTTATCTCTAGTACTAAATAATGAGGAATCTGTACGTATAAATAATGAAGAATCTGTATGTATAAATAGCGAAAAATCTATATGTATAAATAATGAAGAATCTGTATATTTCTCGCATTACGAAAAAAGAAGTCGGCACTTACACAAATCTAATTTGGAACAGAAATTATTCTTCACCCGAGCATGCGCACCTTGTAGTCCGAATTTTGAATTTTGAATTTTTTTTATTTTTTCAAATTTTGTTTGAATTTCATGAAGTTTTTATTAATAAACTCAGCGATTTAAAAGACGTGTGACACTGCTCGAAATAATTTTTTTTTATCTTCGTCGTATTAAACGATTTAATAGAGATGTCTTGCCATTCGGCAAAGTTTCAGACATTTAAATTTCAAATTCAATCAAAAAACTTGGCTATAAAATATTCTTATCTTCCACGTGAAACGTAAGATATTTAACTTTTAGATTTAATCTGTCAATTATTAATCAACAAATTATGCGATTTACAAAAAAAAAAAAAAAAAAAAAAAAAAAAAAGCAGTTCTTCTTTTGTATTATTATTGATTACTGGCAGAAGCCTGAAATTTCACTAGCCGAACTTATTAGGTATGTTTTTCGCTTTTAGGATAACTATTTTAGGCTTAGCTGCGTAAGCGGATAGTAATATTTAATATATAGCTTTTCATTTTCTACATTTACAAAATGAAACAAATTTTAGAAATGCATTTGTTGATTTGAATTTCTGCAAAACTTCGTGTTTTTAAAATGGAATTTGTCTCATTTGTTTTCAGGAATGTCAGTATGGGCCATCGCATCGGATACGCCGGATGTAAACAGTGTAAATGTTAAGGTAAGTAATAATCTTTTCTTTGTGGAGTTAAAAAACCGATCCGTTATAGCAGCATTTTCGTTACAGGACAATATAAAAAACTAAAAGTGATCTGTTAACGGTAAAAAGAAATCACGCATTCGTTACCAATTCATTTCAACTATGGCAAAATCTTTCCAGGCATAAGAAATACTATATCTATTAGGTTAGTTATCTCAATAGACAGAGAAAGAAATGAAATTCTATCTTTCAAAAACGTTTCACTGATCATAATTTCTTTGAAAGAAAAAAAAACAGTTAAATTAAGTAAAAACAAAAAGTTTAACCGCAATTAACAACATTAAACTAGGCAACGATGAGGCATATATAATTCTGTAGAATTTATTTGGTTCTGTTGTCTTTAATAATTAAATTCTTGAATTATCTTATTCTTGAATAATCTAATTAATCGAAAGATTAAATTCTTGAATATTTTTTAAAATATTTCCAACTAAAATATAAAATATAGATAGCAATAATATTGTAAAATTTGGTTTGAAATCAATGCCTTAGTCTTTGCTAATGAAAATTTATCAAAACGTTTACTATTAAAAAAATTTGATCACTCGCAAAATTAAATAGAAATTAAAATCGCAAAATTTATTAGGCTAATTTTAAACTTAATACAGTACAAACACGTTACAATAATACGAGGACCCGTAAAACAAAATAAAACAAATTTTCAGTGCAATACACAGCAATTCAATTTGAAACTCCGTGAACTTATTTTTAAAAGTGATATTTGGATATTTCTAACTAAAGCTTCTTATTTATATTTTCTCCTTTTTTCCTTTGTTTCTGCTAAATCTCATGTATCGAAACAGTGGATAATGGGACAAGATTGTACTGCTTATATACTAGACTTTAGTGAAAGAATTTAGTGAGAATTTAGTGAAAGAATTTATTAATTCAATGCACAGAATTAATAAAGTGGGCAAAATTTAAATTATTTTTCTAAGAATAGCTTCCTTTGTAATAACTGAAGAAAATTTTGCAGAAACAATTGCTTCTTAATATGTAAGAGATGTGCAAGTCTACTTCAGTTTCAAAAACCCCACCGTACCCTGAGCGTTTAAAATCACTGAATACTGATGGTTCATCTCGGATTCGAACCCAGGCGAATGAGGTTGGTATATGGATGATTTTTAGCGACTTTTCTTACGTGTAAAATAAATACGAAATCCCTTAGAAATTTTCAATGAAATATCAATTTCCTTAGCAGATAGCTCTTGTGTGCTTCGCTGTATCCGAATAACCAACCATGTAAGGAAATTTCTTCCTTCTCACCGTGTGTCTTCGGAGTGTAATTGGAAGCACATCTAGCTAGCAATCGAGAAGTCCGGTTTTCGAATCCGGTGAAAACATCGTTGATTCTTCATGTTTTCTGTTCAGTAATACGTTTAAAAATTTAGAACAATTTCAGTCTTAATAATCAGTAATTCGACTCTTATTTGGCTGTAATTTGAAATTATGTTTCTGGTCCAATCGCAAAATATAATCACTATAAATTCATAAAAGCAACATCGATTTCCCCAAATGCATTTAGCTTTTTTTAGCCTAAAGGGCGTTAGCCCAGATAGGCTATTAATTTCGTTTTGACATTTTGTGGCGGTTCACTATAAACGGGGTTTCATTTTTCACATTGTTGCCACCAAATATTATCGCTTTGTGTTATATTTAAAGAAATTAAATAATGAAGAATCTGCATAACTGTATGTATGTTTCTCTCATTGTGATAAAACAACGGTACTTAGAGCCATCAAATTTTGAATAACGTATGTCTCCACCCGAATATGGATATCTGGAAGCCCAAATTTGGAATTTGGAATTCTGTTTTATTACCTGTTTCATATTTTGTAAAGCAGTTATAAGTTTTTGATTGAAAAAAAGAAAAAAAAAAAAAAAACATTTTTATCTCCAGCCCTCGAGACTGTGTGCATCGGAAAATCTAAAGATGTGCTCTTTTTAAATTGTTTTGTGATATTGCTGTTGAACTGAATTTTATGGTTATAAGTGCGAAGAACATGATATTTAATAAATAATAGTAATACACAAAATGTTAAAATAACATCCCTTTGGGCGTAATATAAAAGATTTTTGTATAATTGTTTTTGTTTGAAACGAGCATTAAACAAAGGACAAATATTACAACTAATTAAACAAGCTCCAATTGAGGAAGCATACTTGGATAAAAGAAACTCGAAATGTGCTTTTATTTATCATACGTCTCCTGCTGCCATTTTTAGTAATGAATGCCGAGCATGGACATCGGCGGGGTCCCATTTTTTTCATTACTCTCAAAATAAATCATTAAACAGAAGTCAGTGTGATTTGCGGCGATAGACATCAAACGATTCTGTAGTACCTATAGCTTATCTGTTCGTTTTAATGAATCCATTGTCTGATGTAAACGTGAAAAGAATTTGTTCGCTAACGTACGTAACGATGGACAACAGACAATGAGAACTTATACTTTCCAAAACAGCTTCATGATGCCGCTTGCTTGTTATCATCGTATATGACTGCATCCAAAATAGAAAGGGATAATCCATATAGTGGGGTAATAATTCACGGAATGATAGTACAAGAGTACCGCTTATTAGCTATTTTACCTCTTTTCAACTTTCTCTCTCTATATATATTATTTTTATAAGTTTAAATCCTAATTATATTTCATCTCAACACTAGTTAACAGGCCATAGCTTGGCGAATGAATTATAATCCCGTTTCTAACTCAGAACCAAATAATACAATGCGACAACAACAATTGTAAAGCCAATTAAAATGTCGATTCGAAATTACAAATATAAGGTTTTTAACGTAAACTTAAAATTCCGTTCTTTCGAGCTAATAGTGCAATAGCAATCAAATACTTACAAAACAAATATCAAATAAGAGACTAAAAAAACCTTGTCCCTGCGTCAATGTAACTAAAGGTAACAACTATTAAATGCCAGAGGGTTAACTGTGTCATGAATTAGATGGGCCCTGTCGGAAAAAGGAATATTATAATTAAGCATTCTAAACAAGTCCGTTGTGAAGTCCGTTTACTTCACAACAACAGAAAAATTGCTATCAGAAAAATCAGCGTAAAACTGAAATGTCTAAGCAAAGTAAAAAAGGGAAAAGTAAAATAAAAGAAGCATTGCAACAGCAAATGATACTGCTAGTGCGTACTGGCTCATAATGGTTTGAATGCACACAAAACCAAAGCCAGCTTGATGAAACTTATGTTTTCAAAAACTCCTCAGTAAGTGCAATCAGTAGTTACTACTTCAAACTACACTCATGTCCATAAATTAAGGATAATTCGGATTCACGCGGAAATCGAACTCTAAAATAAATATATCACCTGTAAAATCACTACACCATCTTCAGAATCATATGCAAATTTCAGGAAGTAACCAGATGACACCGATGGTACGGTCACAATGACGAGAGTGTAAGAGTGAGTGATATAAGGAAACAGTGCAAAGTAGTAAATTGTTATAAGCATTCAGTGCATAACCGAATAGGTAGAACACAAAGACGCATTTGGATGATTTTTACGAGTAAGAATTCGGCGTCTGGATTGTGGGCGTACCCAACTGGAAGTACCAGACGAACTTGGAACTGCCCAGAGTGTCATCTCCGGTTTGGCACGATTCCAAGATGATGGTAACCGTAGTAGACGTTACAGCAAGGTCGCCCACAGAGATACAACGCGAATGAGGACGGTATTTGGCAGTTACTGCCAAAAAACAGCGGAGCCCAGCCTCAGACTTATCTCGTCAGCTCTCTTCAGCCACTGGTACGACAATTTCAAGGCAGACTGTGTAGTACAGACGCTAGGGCAGATTGGTCTATATGCTCGTAGACTTGTCAGATGCGTTCCACTTACTGCAACTCACTGTCGCCTGCGTTAGCCTGGAGCAGAGAGCATGCATTGTGGACACGCAACAGTGGGCTTGTGTGATGTTTCCGACGATTCCAGGTTTAGCTTGCAGTCTGATTCTCGTCAGACTTTATATGGAGAGTCCAGGTACCCGTTACCACCAGAAAACATCATTGACGACACCGTTACGGTGGTGAGGAGTGCTCGTTTGAGGTGGAATTATTCTGGGTTTCCAACTGCCTTCTGTCAATTGGAACCATGACAAGACAAATCTATCGGGACGTCATTCTGGAACAACATGTACGTTTGTTTCGGGCGCCATGGGCGCACAATTTGTGTTTATGGATGACAAACGCCCGCCTCACCGTGCAAACATCGTAACGAATGCCTTCAATCGAAGGATATCACCCGTATGGACTAGCTAGCATTCTCACCGGACTTGAATCCAGTAGAGCACGTGTGGGATATGCTTGGCCGACGAGTTGCAGCCTGTCAACTTCCTTCTACATGTCTACCGGAACTTCGGAGAGCATTGCTTTTTGAGTGGTGTAATATCCCCCAAGATCAGATCGATAATTTGATACTTACATGCTTAGGCGTTGTACGGACTGTATTGTATCGTCTGGGAGACATACAATGTATTAACAGTCATATTAACCATGTAATATTGGTTTTTTATAAATAGGGTTTTTATAATTTGCTCCAGGGAGAAAAAATCGCTAATTTTTTTAATGATATCAAACATATAGCATCTTTTTTTGCACTTTACCTTTGGTTTAATAAAGAAGCTTTACATATAAGTCAAATTTGTTTTGCTTCTAACTCTTTCTTTGCCTGATTTTGCATTATCCTTAATTTATGGACATGAGTGTACTTAGGACGTTGACCACAAGGTAATGCAAAAAGAGCCTCAAATGTGTTGGCTTACACAGTGATCTCTCAGCACTTTTAGTTCTTAACTAAACTAAATTTATACTGTCTACGATCTTATATAGTTCTCGAACCCAGAGAAATTTCCATTGACTATGATTTCTCCAAATTACTGGAAGTTGCATAAGAACGGATACAGTTACAGTTATATAAGGATCGGACGAGTTACAATTACACA